TAATGATGACTATTTTGCAATAAATGAATAGCTATTGAATATGTATTTTTTTTATCAAAAATGAGCTCTACCAAAAGAAAAACCCTAGCCGTCAACCCTATAGCCGCCGACCTCTGGCTATGACTGGGGGCCGGTGGCAGCCTCTCCCCTTCCTCTCCTAGCTTTTCCTCCCTCTCTATCCCACCTCTTCCCCATCACAACCATCCTTTACGCCGCCATACTCAAGTTTCTTCCCACCCCCGACCCCTCATTCCCGACCTCTACTAACCTCCCCTCCCATCCCTTTCTTCTCTCTCACCATTTTAGGTGCAGTCCTCCATGGATCTATGCTCCATACCCCGACCCGGGCCATGCCCTTTCAAGATTTTCTTTGATTTGACGTTTGTATTCTTGGTGTGGGTTTTAGATTTGTGCTGCAGATGGGCTGGATCCCGTTCGCCAACTCAGTTCTATGGTGGTGTCACCTGCCCCGATGACTTCGGTGGATGCACTGACTGTGCTCCTGGCAGCTGCTCTTGTGGTCTTCGGTGTGTGGAAGCCGACATTCCCACTGGCCGGATGTGCTACATTGTGGTTCCCTTCTCGATTATTTCATTTTGTTCGCTTCGGGCGAGTTTTATTTAATTTAGTTTATTTTAGTTTCCTTAGTTGAGTCCTGGTCTTCGGGAAAATTGCTCTCTAGGGTTCCTAAGTCTTTTTAGGTTTCACCAGGAAAGAGTTTGCACAATGTTCGTATACGGCAATTGGCGTTGAGTTACCTTGATCTTGTGTTCGTAGTTCTACGGGCATAGGTAAGTGGTTGTTTGGTCCAACTAATCCACTTTGTTGGAGACATTTGTAGCTGATAGTTCAGGCTGGTTTCGCAGCGTGTGGAAGTCATGGTTGCATGCTTTGCAGCACAGTTGACACTCACTGCACATCAATGGTTGAATGCTAACAAGTTTGTGGGCAGAAGATCCTCCTAATTTGCTTAGGGATACTTTGTAATTTGCTTATGTATTGACATTTGAGGATAGGTCCTTTCGTCGTGCTAGACACTCTTTTTCCTTCGACCGAGTTGAAAGCTTCGACAAGGTTTTATTGAGGCCCACTGTGCACACTATCCTCAATTTGTTCTTAAATTGTACTTGTTCTGTGTTGTTTGAAATGAATATTGAATATCGTCTTTCTCTCAAATAAAAAAGAAAGAAAAAAAGGCCATTGAATATGTTTTTAATTTTTTTCTTTCTTTAGATTTTATGGTCTGGCCTTAGCGGTATTTTTCTGGTGACTGTTTCCAAAATGCATGGTGCCTTTCAATTTACAGTTCAAGGCAAGTCCAGTTTGGATGTTAGACTACAACTTTCTTTTATTTGTTGGGGAATTATAACTTTAGATTTTTTTACATAAATTGGAATAAAAAAAATCACTAAACCGACAGTTAATTGCTTATTTTAACAACTAGGGGCTAACCATTTGTAGACATCTAAAGTCGCACCAAAAATCTTAACAAGAATCCAAAGAAGAATATCAATAAAAGTTCGCTCGAATGTAGCAATAGGGACAAGTGCCTACTTTGTGGGGGAGCAATAGAAGTCACTGGGCAGGTTCTCCAACTGATCAGGTCCCCACTGTTTTTGCACCTCAGAAATATATTATATAATATATAATTTCTTCAATGACAAACAATTAAAACATAGCCTAATAGGAAAAAGAATAATAGATTTTTTCTCTCTCATCAGTCCATAATTCATAATATTGCTCTCAAGTAATTCCCAAATAAATGAGATCATTCAATTACTTGGACTGAATTGCTAATAATTCGATTCATGTGAGGCATTTGACATGTATCATAAATATGAATTGAATTGGCATATATAGTATATTTAGGTGTTTTATGTTTTTCCTGCCGTTGAATGTGACTTGAGTGTTTCTTAATTGATCATGCGTTTTAGTTTTAAAGTTTTTGATAATTTTAATAATTGATTTGTTTATTGGTAAGTGAATTTCACACATAATTTTTAGCTTTTCAGACATCTTTTTTTATTTTAGTTATCAAATTAAATAAATCAAACAAAACTAACGGACAAGATTAAACATAGATGTCTGAGAGGCTAAAAATGGCATGTTATCATTGCCCTTGTACAATGTCTAAAATAAAAATTAGCATTTATTTTCAAAATATATTAGTATTTTCATAAAAAATTATATTAAGGAGGATCCTATTTAAAATTTTCGCACAGGACTCCTAAATACTCAAAGACGATCACGGGGACAATGTTCGTGATTTTTGAAATAAAATTTGTCATATTAATAATGCACAAACGTCGGTGGACAAATCAGAGAAGTAGTAGAAAGAAGAAAGCAAGAAGATAAAATGGTGCATGCATGCCTTAATTCTTACTAGCTGTTTTCAAAGGTTTGATGACGATTACAAGCGGTAGCTTTTGAATCAAATTAAAGGGCCTTTCACCTTTGAAACGTAAGCCCTTTCTTTTTCTCTTTTAGCAGTGAGAGACCACATGCTTGGCTGGGGATTCCCAGCCACACTTTGTTTACAAAATAACTTCACCGATCAACTTGTCTCTCTTGCAGATCAGATTATACAAAAGTTCATAAAGTGGACACACACACACACACACACACAATTGGACTTCATTACCTAGCGTAGGTATATATCTCTTCAAAGCTGCTTGTCAACTTCAACTTGGAAATTCCCAATTCCATCACCACCGTATGGGTGGTATCTTGTTCGTTAGGTCGGTTATTAGTGTAAGTACAGAAAATTTAATGTCTCGATCATTTATTCATTTACTTTTTTTGTTCAATAGATGATTACTTAATAGCCAATTAAGCAAACATAGTACGAGTAATGGTTCTTCTTGTACAGTGACAAAATCAGAATTTTGTGTGAGAGGGCCAGGCCACCTGCAATTGATGAATGGCTCCGCCCCTGGTCATGTAGTATTTACAAAGAAATTGCTCACTTGAAGGATTTACAAAGAAATAAATAGCACCGCAAAATAACAATTGCTCACCCCTAAAGTTGTACCACATTCAAACATTTAAAATCCCTAAATAATAAACAAATCTAAACCTTGAAACATACAACATCAGAATATTGTAATTTTGGTTGCTCAACTCGGTTGATAGGTTGATTTGGTGGTAATTTCGAGTTGGTTTTTTAGTCAAAATGGTTCCTGAGATTTTCATAACACATAACTTTGGTTCCTGAGATTTAAAATCAATAGAAGTGGTCCCTGAGAATGTCCACCATCCATTATTTTGGTCATTCCATTAAAAAACTCCATTAAGTGGTCCTTGAGCTTTTTAACGGAATGACAAAATGATGGATGATGGACAATCTCAGGGACCAAAGTTATGTGTTATGCAAATCTCAGAAACCAAAATTATGTGTTATGCAAATCTTAGGAACCATTGACTAAAAAGCCGTTTTAAACACAAGAAAAATGTGAAACAAATGTATAAGCAAAGGATTGTATCAATATTAAGCTTGTGAAGGACATATTATTTGATATCTCATGCTATATCAAATACCTTACCAACCAATACATTAATCTCTGCCGTTGGCAAGGCTCTGATTCTTTCCTACCGTGTAATTTTCTTAATTAACTTGATCAAATTAAGTTTCGTGATTGCTTTCCTAACAAGAACCCTAATCATAATTTAATCATTAACTTAAATAGAATGGAACAAATTACACATAAATATATGATCGATGGTTCTTTCTCCTTTCTTATCTTCATGGCTAAACTTATTTAGCTTCTATTTCTGCACGTGTAGATTTGACGGTCTAAATTGGTGTATTTGGATATAGGAGTGAGTCGATCAGATGACAAGAACTTTACATGAATTTGACGGAAAGGCCACCTGGTAACGTAAGCAAGAAAAGAGAACGAAGAAAAACATAACTACGTAGGACGACACTCATCTGGTCTCCATCAAACCCACGTATTATGATTCAACCCTTATCCAATTAACTAATTTTTGGCTGACCTCTATGTTTAACCTAATCACGTAAATTTTGCTTTTGATTTTCCTTATTAAATATAAGAGCAAATAATATTACACCTTGCTTGTCTTCTTCTCGAAAGTAATTAACTTTAGGGTTCCTTTGTATATCCTACTCGACCAACAATTCCACCCATGCATGCATGGTTAATGTGCTTTCCGTTTAGGGTCAGATTTTACTTTTACCTTTTCGTTACAATTTATTAGGAGGATTAGCTGTGGTAAAAAAGGGGACACACGAGGTTCGAAAGACAAGAAATTGTTCAAAGTAAGTAAAACACAATTCTTCGTGAATATTTTTAAAAAGTTACGTTTCTCTTTCTCTTTCTTTTTCTTCTCTCTTTTTACCCCTAATATGCTTAAGAAGAAGAAGAGAAGAAAAAAGGTACGTAATTATGATCCATAAGCCAACAGATCTAGTGTTTGCCAAAGTGTAGAAGGTGGACTCACTTGGGTCGTTTTGATCCACTAGCTTTAACTATGAGCCAGTAATTAGCTAGTATCTGCACAAGTGTGCGTGGAAAAAAAGAAGATAATTTTGACTCTAAGCAAATAGCTAGCTTTGACTACACTTTTCTCACGTTTGGTTAATTCATAAGCATATCAGATGATCTTGTCCCTACATTTTCTTCTATGGGCAAGACGTCAATAAGTAGCAAAATATGTCGACATGTTATCGATACAAATATCAATATTATCTGAACGCTCATGCAAATTGTATTGATAATTTATGCGTACTTTAATTGGCTAAAGTTATTCAAATTGTGCATCAAAACAGGTACAAGTCATGAATCTCAACATTGTTGCAAACAAAAAAAGAATCCAAAAAGGAGGTTCAATCTACTATATGAAAAAGGAATTTTCGTTTAGGTGCGTCGAAATTGCGTTTATAGACTTTAAGAAAGTTTTCCGATCTTTGTTATTTTTAGGTTTTACTTTTCTAGTTTGGTGGTGGCTATATAAACCTCAGTTTGGCTTTGATATTATTCTCATTGTGGTAGATTCCAATTCTTGAGGCTCTTCTTTCTTGGAACAAATTTCAATTGTTGCTCTCATATTCTCACTGTTCGATCGGATCACCAAGTTGGTGATCTAATTGCATATATATTTAAGTTTAACCGACTTAGTGCGATTTTCCCCTTGCCTTTATTGCAAGAAAGTGTCCGGGGTATTGTGGTCATAGGGAAATATATAGGGCACTTGGCGGGGTTTGGAAAAGAAACAAGTCTGCCAGACCAAAAGAAACCCATCGAGTCAGAAAATAATAGAATCATCCCACAAGTCATTTAAAAACCAGTCGAGAGGGTAAAGGGCCAAACCAAAGACAACATTGCCAAGGCAAGCTATAACCAGAAAACCCCAAAATTTCAGCCAAGAAAAGAAAGGAATTCTCTCCTTCTCCCTACACAAAAAATAACAGCTCTATATCTCCTCTCTCTCTCTCTCTCTCCTCTCTCCTCCCTTCCCAGTTCTTCATTCTCTCTCTCTCACACACACATATTTCTCTCTCTAGATGGCAGCATTTTTCAGCAGAATTTCCATTTTCAAGATTTTTCTTGCATTTACTCTATGTTTCTCAGGTACCCTTTTTATTTTTCTTCATATTTTTCTTGTTTTTATGTGTTTATTTTTTCAAGTTGTTCATGTTTGATCACAAATTCTAATGATTTTTTTTTCCTCACAGATATTGGTTTTCTACAAGGAGCTACATCACTTGGCATCAACTATGGCCAACTTGGCGACAATTTACTTCCGCCAGAGAAAGTCCTGGACCTCTTGAGCTCCCTCAAGATCACGAAAGTGCGAATCTACGACACGAATCCTCAAGTCCTCACGGCATTTGCCAATTCTGGCGTCGAGCTAATGGTGACGATCGAAAACGCAATGTTAGGCCAGTTGATGAACCCTCAAGCAGCCTTCCAATGGGTTAGCTCCCACATCAAGCCTTATTTCCCAGCCACCAACATCACCAGCATTGCCGTAGGCAACGAGGTCTTCACAGATGATGACACAACAGTACTCTTATCCAATCTTGTCCCGGCCATGGTCAGCATCCAGACGGCACTAGCTCAGCTAGGCCTTGATTCCTACATTAAAATCTCCACCCCTTGTTCTCTGGCGGTCCTCAAAGAATCCTACCCGCCTTCAGCAGGGAGTTTCAAACCCGAGGTGGCTCAGGTCATGACACAACTGTTACAGTTCTTGCAAAGCACAAAGGCACCTTTTTGGATCAATGCCTATCCATATTTTGCATACAAGGGTGATCCAAACAGAGTCTCTTTGGACTATGTACTATTTAACGCCAACCAAGGGATGGTCGACCCTTTCACCAAGCTACACTATGACAACATGTTGTATGCACAAGTAGATGCAGCCATTTATGCCATGGCTAGGTTAGGGTTCAATGGTATTGAGGTCAAGGTTTCGGAAACGGGCTGGCCATCCAGGGGGGACTCGAACGAAATCGGTGCAACGCTACAGAATGCTGCCACTTACAACAGGAATCTGTTGAGAAGGCAGCTCCAGAATGAAGGCACTCCTCTGAGGCCTAAATTGAGGCTGGAGGTCTATGTGTTTGCTTGTTCAATGAGGATATGAAGCCCGGACCAACGTCAGAAAGGAACTACGGACTATTTCAGCCGGATGGGACTATGGCTTACAATGTTGGACTGTCTGCCATATCAACTAGTAGAACACCAACTTCATCATCAACAACATCAGCTTCCATTTCTGATGTCTTTTCCTCTGCTACAAAGGTAAAAAAACCACAGGCTCTTTCTCACTTTCCTCAGAATGATTATTTTTTTCCTTAACATATGATTCATCATGGTAGAGAAATGTTTAAAATATATAGGCCAGGCCAAAAGGCAAAAGGTGTAATAGAAATTTGCGTATACATAACACATATATCAATGCAATAAGTGCAATTTCTACATATAAGCACATTAAACATATATTCTCTGTGCATGTGATCTCTTTATTAAAGAACAAATACACATCCATATTGTATACATATTTTGAGCATGTATCGGTAACATATCTGTACAATTTTTTTTTTTATGCCAGTCAGTTTGTCCTTCAGATGTCCACCGCACTAGTAAATTAAAATGCTAAATTTGGTGATATGTGACCTGCTTCTTTTGTTTTATTCCTTTATATAATTTGTCTTCCTAATAATTAATGGAATTTATTTTGAAACAGGCAGCAACCATGGAATATCGTCAAAGCTGGGTGGGCTGGATTACTGTTTGCATGGTGACCTTCCATGTTTTTATGGGAAGGCCATTTTAAGCAAATGGGGGAGCTTATGTAAATATCACATTTTGGGGTGAGAAAAAAAAAAGATTAAATTCAAAAGCTCCTATTCTTCAAAAACAAGACTACTTCATCAGGCCATGACCTTCATCAACATTGAGTTGTCATGCAGCAGCTTAGTTATTAGCTAGTATTCTGTTAGAGGAGACACAAAGCCATTATTTGACTTTAGTAACTGTGACAAAGTCCTCAAGATCATCATATTGTAAAAACCATTATCCCTCAATTTAATTTCAATGTCATTGCTATTTTTACAAAAATATTCTGTGGTTGCTAGAGAAAAAAAAAAAAAAAAAAGAATATATACAATGGCTTGTCGTTCAAGTAGTTTAGAGCATTTATGGTTTTTGAACTTGAAAAACTAATATATTGACTCATGCACTCGAAGTCAGAAACCTTAAAACTTAAAACATTTGCTCATGTACTCAGAAGTCTTCCGTTCTGGTCTATTCCTCTCTCAGTATTCAAAAAAGAAAGAGAGAAAAAGAATAATAACGAGAGTATTATGTCTCTTCCGATTGGTTGCAAGGAAAAGCTCCTTCCTTTGGAACGTGGAATCCATAACTGTCGCTGCATTATCTATAAATATTCCTCAATTTGCTTTAATTTTCTCTATGACTATAATCTCTTTTTTTCCACCTCAAAAATAAAAAATGACACATAAAGTTCACGTAGAAAAATGGGATAATTGAAATCGTAAAGTGTAAAAAAGGGAAAGGCCTCGATAATTAAGTTCGTTCTTTTTATTATCATGAAGAAGCAGAGAATGGACGGCCAAAGCGAGCTTTATTCTGCCATGGCCAATTAAAACCGTCAGCATTGGTCATTTCCTTGCCGATTCCTTTTCGCAAAGGAGCTTTTGTTTAGCTTTTGCTTGTCTGTTATAAGAGCTGAGAGGGGGAGACAATGTAAGCTCAGCCTTACTTCCACCTGATGAGGATAGTCTTCCTCTTGACATCAGCCAACATGCTGCACATGCACTCCAACAAATTCTCACACCTCCACTAAGATTTCCAGATTTTAATTTTTTAAATTAAATCATAAAGAAAAAGGCAATTTTGTTAAGTTTTTTACCCTTTTAACTGAAATTAATTAATTAATTATCGAATAGTCTAGACTTCTGCAGAAAATTGTTGAGTAGCTTGGCGTTTTGTTGGCCTTTTTGGCTTAAGACAAATTAAACCAGCCTATATTTTATAAACAAATCAGTATATCCTTGTTTTTGTGACTAGACAGACGAATTTGTAAGTGTTATATGTACTTTCAATCTACAACGAGCCAGTGAATACACACACACACACAACTACAGACATCAAAGGTATACCGTACTAATATAAGTTCAATATATATATATATATATATAATTTACCAATATGTATATAGTACTACTATACGTTCAAATATATATGCACAATACTAAGATATCTGTTAAAAAATATATATATGTAATGAATTTACCCATATGTAAATTTACGATTAGCAAATAATATATATTTTGTAGGTAAATTAATAATGAATCAAATAACACTCTTTTATTTTGTAGGTAACTTATTTTCATATATTTGACACATTTTATTATTATAAGATATATGTACAAATAATAGGTAAATTTACTTTGAATCAAATAACTTTGCTTTATTTTGTGGGAATTATTATTAGCACTCCAAAAATCTTATTTGGCACTCCAAACTTTCTATAATTAGAAAGAAAAACATACTTGTGAGAGAGTGTAGAATGTGATTTTTGGAGTGCTAATAACATTTCCCTATTTTGTAAGTAAATTAATTTTGAATCAAATAGCATTCTTTTGTTATGTAGATATTTTATTTTGTATGTATCAATATCATATATATATTTGGCATATTTTATTATTATATGTATATATAATAGGTAAATTAGTATTAAATAAAACAAATATTGTTTTATTATGTAGGTAAATTATTTTGCTTGTATTTTGCATATATTGGGTTTGTTATTATGCAGGTAAATAATTTTTCATGTATTTTACATATATTGGGTAAATTATTATTTTTTTAAGCAATCTAACATTTTAAAATTTTAATAGTAGGTGCACTATTCGAATCAAAAAAAATTTTTTGTAGGTAAATTATTTTGCATGAATTTTACATATATCTGGCATTTATATATATGTATATATGTCACATCCTGGCTCGTGCCTCCACCACATCTCGGGCTCGACTCCATCGTAACACGATATTGTCCACTTTGGGCCCCCACCACGCCCTCACGGTTTTGTTTTTGGGAACTTACACGAGAACTTCCAAGTGGGTCACCCATCCTGGGATTGCTCTCGCGCGCTACTCGCTTAACTTCGAAGTTCCGATGGAACCTGAAGCTAGTGAGCTCCCAAAAGGCCTCATGCTAGGTAGAGATGAGAATATACATATAAGGCTTAGAGGATTCACTCCCCTGGGCGATGTGGGACGTTACATATAGGGGTGTGATATCCACACACCCCATTTTACTTCTCACACACCCTTTTAATTTTCGGCCGTTGGATCGGATGAATTGAAGAAGATCAACAGACATAAATTATCAAGGGATGTGTGGATAGCACACTCCAACATATATATGTGTGTGTGAAGATATAATTTTATTGACTTAATTAAGTATGTATAATAACATATATTAGACATGTTTTATGTTATTATATATTAGGCATTGAATTTATAACATTAATGTTTTATTTTTATTTTTGTAAAATCATTAATTCTTCCTTAGAATCTGCACGACATTAATTATGTACATCAAACATCCAAATAGGATTTATCAAAAAAATAAAATAAAATCAAATAGGGGTATTTTAGGCATTCAAAGTTTTTTTAATGTGTGAAGTCAGACATAATTAATGAATTTGCTGATGTGAAATCTAGTCAATGAGTTTTATTCAAGTAAAAAACTTATGTCGGGTTTTGTGCAGAGAAAATTATGTTTTAGGGGCTAAAGTTATATTATATATATGGTTTTGTTTAATGATAGAAAGATAATATATGTTTCCCAGATATAACTCTAGATGATCACACGATTAAAGATATAATAACATGAGAATACGAGGATTTGCACCTGATGACATGTAAAAGTTACAGTCACGTAATGAGTGATATATTCACATAGATAAGAATATATAGGAGATGTACATCTGATGGTGACATGCAACATGTTCCCCTTGTTTAATTGGGACTCAAACATGCGAGCTGGGGCATCTGTTTTGATGCCTTAATTCCTAGATAGTTTCATATGATTTGATATGTTTATGTCATATATGTGTCTTTGTCCAATTTCTTTGACATGGTTAGGTTTCTGTCCGATGTGTTCGACAGCAGACATGCTTATCTGTTAAACACTTAGTTTTGTGTCATTTCATGCCATTTTCTTAATTGTGTTCTTCTTCTTAATACCCTTAACCTTTTAGGTTTGGAAGGCACATAATAAATCCAATAACCAGAGCTATATATATAAGGGAGGATGAAACTTCTTGATTGAAAATGCAGGGTCATTGATTCTGATCCCACTTCCACACACACACACACACACACACACATATATGGACGGATATGTGACACCATAAAAAAAAAAAAAAAGGAAAACTAATGAAAAGAATTTGAAAATTTTGAATTTTAATAATAAGGACAAAATAAAAGGTAAAGTGAATAGTACCATGATTGACTTTTTATGTAAAAATGTGGTTTTTTGTTAAAGTGAACAGTACCGTGAACTTTTCGTTAAAACTCCCTAAAAAAAATACAAGTTTTGACACAACTCTTAAACCACTAAATCTATATATATACTTTGAGTGGTTGAGATGCAATCTGATTACTCATTATTATTATATTATTATTATTATTATTAATAATTATGTTTTAGGAAAAAAAAACTATAAACCTTGTTATTAAGATTCTTTATTCCCTCTCCAATCTGGTTATTGTTTTTCATTAGAACTATCTCTTTCCCATTTAACTCTTTCTTTTCCCTTCCTTTTCCTCGCTGTTCATCCTTCCCAGCCATCTTGTTTTCTATGGCATCCCTTGGAATGTGCGGAAAACATATAGAATCTCACCCATATAAGAAGTTGCACAACCTAGTTAGGTAGCACGAATTCTCTCCCACTTAATTAAAATCATGGGTAGTGCTATTCACACACCTCATTTTACTTCCCATATACCCTTGGTCCCTTGTTAATATTTATCCATTAATCTTCTTCTATTCATTCGATCGAACAACCGAAAATTAAGAAGAGTGTGTGAATAGCACCACTCAAAATTATCTATATCCTAAAGGTAGTTAAACTCAATCTAAAATCTTTTTTCTTGGACTATAATTAATTGAAAAAAAAAAATGAAATTGTCACGCATCCCATGAATACCAAACTTATTTGATTGCAGAACACTAACTTAATTAATGTCTAAAATAGCCAATATACTTGTACTTAATTAGCCCTAATTCACAACGTGGGATATGATTGAAGCCTACTAAAATACAAACTCAAGGCCAGTTTTTTAAGTTCATTAAGCAATATCTATATATTAAGCTTGATGTTTTGCCGATGAAGATAAGTTGATGCCCTGATAGTTAGTGCAATTGAGTGATAGAAAGTAAAAAACCGGTAGAGAAAAGAAAATATCAGAAGATCACAAATGGTAAAGAAAGAGCAGTCTAGGATATCGTAGAGAACGAAAGGAAATAAGGAGAAGAAAAAGATTGAGAGAGAATTAGTTAAATAATAAAAATAAATTTGACTAATCACATTACATCTCAACCATTCAAAATTTATAGATTTAATAATCTAAAAATTGTGTCAAAACTAGTGTCGATCTTTTTATCATGTCACGAATCCGCGGTGTATATATATATATATTGCATGGCTTGGATTGGAAAGGACACGTTGTAGGTGGCTTTTAGGTTATGTATGGGAATCTAAAATGAGATTTTGATATCATAAATTATTAGCAAGCCAAAAGAGCAGGATGCATGCTGCGGCTATGGACCACCATAATTCTTAGAAATGATCTGTCGACACAATGATCTGACATAGAATATGTGGTATTCCTTTTGTATATATTATATATGATCTTTGGCGGAGAATTAGTTTAATCATTTGTTGCCACATTAGCATGATGAGAATTATCATGATCGTAATATTCCAAAACGATTGAAACAAAATAATTCATGGTAGAAGTATGTCCCACAAAACTTATTTTGTGTGGAGGTTTACCTTTGAACAATGACGAATTTAGGATTTGAACTTTATATGTCTTAATTTAAATGTCTGAGTGTTTTAGATAGAAACAGAGCGTGAAGCATAAAAAAAAAAAAAGTTTATTTGCTGAGGAATTGTCATACACTTGGTAAGCTTGTTGTCATCAATCGAACCATGTTGCACACATTCAGTAGATATCGATAATTTGATAAGTGCTATCGAGAGCTATTGTCGAGTGTTATCAACGCAAACTGCCGAGATATGTCTACCATACATTACATCAAGCATTTTGTGGGCACAAATGAGACTTGTGCCAAACATTCAGAGTGTCCCTAGAGAACCTTCACCATGCGTGTTATCTGATCTTCGAATGATCTTGGGACCACCTTGATTCCAATGTTTATCCTCCCTAATACATGTAAGATTCATTTACAACGTTCTCTATCATTTACAACATTCCCTAACTTGACATATACACGAAATTCCATGTCTTTTTACCTCTTATAAAAAGCTAGTGGATGATAAAATGGAGTTTATAATTTACATATGCAAAGTAATACAGTGCTACAACCCCAGCTTTTGTTGCCAAAGGTCAAAGGCAATTGTCCGATATGATTGTGGTAGGTTTTAATAAGCGCACAACGATAGGTTGATTAGCTTCACATTCCATGTTTAGGGGGATCTATATTAGGCCTTAATTACTTGTTTAATGATAGCTTTAATTGGTACATAATTGTGGAAGATGCTTTTATAAAGTGGCTTCAATTCCTCATATATTTTAGGCCATCAAAGGCATCCTCTTTCACGTGGAAGTTTTCAGTTTTCGGCAGTTTGCTTAGTCGGATCTAATTAACATCAATAGTAAACAATATGTAGAAGAAAACTGTTTACAATTAAGTCACAACAAAGGTGAACTATGTGTCTTTACATGGTATATACAGAAACTCTTTCAAGTTTTAAGTGATCATGTGGAAGGAAAAGTGCATAAAAATTAAAGATTCAATACCATCACACCAACATTTTAGATCTTAGAAGTTAATTTAGTTATTTTTCTTAAATGGTAATGAACATTCTATGTAAAAGACACTTTTAGAAGAGGGAATCTTGATCCTCTGTCTATTTGAAAGACTCAATGCTCGTTTGGAAGCGCTTTTAAAAGGATTAAAAGCACTTTTAGTGCTTTTTGAATTCACTTAAAGTGCTTTAAAATTTAATGTTGGTTCCGAAAGTACTTTAAATGATTTCAAAAATGTTTTCACCAAAAACTTTTTTAGTTATTTTAAAGACACTTCCAAATGAGCCCTCATTCTACACTGTATTTCAACAATTCGAACTGTCTATTTTTTAGTCACAACTCATATAACCGGTTGCATGCGTACAATGTAGAGCTCAAAAACTAGAATCCCTCCTCCGAAACTGCCAATGTATATATCTAACAATGCAAGTCAATAGTCTTAAATAATTCTCAAATCCTTTCTCACTAAGAAAGCTCTCCAAGATCTGCAAATAGTTCTTCATGTGCAGTAGGATCTTCCTTTGAAAGCTGTATGAACTTTTATAAGTAAGATCATAACCGTGTCAGCATTTGGAGAAAGTGAGGAGAGCCTTGAGGAATAACAGTTTTAAATTCAAAGTAATATTTTCTTTTGACAATTAGATTCAAAGGGCTGTTTGTCCTCGTTGTTACCTCAATATATTAACAAAAGTCGGTTAGTAAATAGCAAGGTTCTAAAATATGAGTTTTAATAAAAAATCCACGGTATTATTCACTTTAATGAAAAATCACATTTTTACACTAAAAAGTCAATCATGGTACTATTCACTTTACCCTTTATTTTATCTTTATCATTAAAACTCAAAGTTTTTAAGTCATTTTCATCGGTTTTCTTTTATAAAAATCGCTAGGCATTAGTCGGGTGGCGGGCAAGGGCTTAGCGCCTAGGCTGCTAGACTGGGTTTAGGCGGATTTATGTAAATTTATTATATATCTTGTAAATAAGTGTCTATTTACATCTAAAAAAAACTATACTTGTATGGATAATAAAAGAACGATAAAATGCAAAAATAGAAGTAGAAGAAAACACAAATTATATACATCCAAAAAGTTCAATATTTAAAAAACAGTAAGCATATAATCATAATGAGAAGGATTTGGATGATAGACTAAATTCTTGTTGTTCATGAATCATGATCCTTGTATTGGATTAGATATAGACTAAATTATTTAATCTTGTTGCATCTAGTTTATTTCTTTTCTTTGTATGTATCCCCTAAAAAATGCTCCAATTCATTTCACTATTGGATGAACTTGTAGTAAATCCATTATTTGCAAATTAGATACACCATTTCCATAAGTATACCACCATGAAACCTAAAAAGAAAAAAGCACACAATTAATAAAATATATATATATATATAAACCACCTAGGACAGCCTAGGCCCCACCTAGCTCTCCGCATAGCCCTCCTAGGCACCACCTAGCTTCCAGCCAATTTTTCCAGACGCCTTGCCCAAAATCAGGATGGGGCTCCACCACCTAGACCGATTTTTAGAACAGTGATAAATAGTAAGCTGAACACAACAAAATTGAGGGTAACACACTCCCTGTAGAAAGGAATTGAGACCTTCTCTGGATATTCGTGTCGTGGCCGATGGAATCGGAGATCTCATAGTGTTTATTTTAAATTATGTGGTCCTTATTAGCCTATTTTACTGGCACACCTTAATCAAGAATCTGGATCTCTCTTTCTCTCTTGTCAACAACCTGAATCTTCGAATCTTTAGTGTTCGAATACAAAGATTCGGAAAGGATCTCCACTCCTGTAAAAGTACTAGTAATGTTGTAGAAATTAACTAGCTGGTTTCCACCTTGATTAGTACATGGTGCATTAATTATCACTGTTTTTTCAGGTGCTAAATTTTCATATTTTAGAGAAACTAATGGTGCACTTCACTAATTCTCTAATTTGAAGATGTTTGCACTTTGCGTTGTTTCTATAGATTAAACTTAATTCTTTAGAAAAATCTACTTAACTAAATACTTGGTTCATCATGAAATTATCAATGATTAAGAAAAGCATTGATTTATTATATTGGTGTATTTTTGTTCACCACCCTTGAGTGGTTATAATACTCACCACTATTGTTATCAACATTGTAGGAGTTTAAATTTTAATATTTGTGTCTATCCAACACACAAATCTCGAAATTTAAATTCGTTAAAATGATAAATAAGGTGGTTATCATCACCATCACTTGAAAGTGGTGAGCAAAAATATTCCTTTTTATCCTATACAAATGATTGAACAAGCACCAATTTGAATGATTTTCAAAAAATCATCTTTCAATAATAATTATGAAAATAAACAATTTTGATTATACCACAATGTTTTTATACATTAGCAAACAATTTAGTTACAAAAGAATTAATTGGATGCCACACACTTTGCAACCAATTGCATTAGACCACGTATTCGAAGCTGCCACTATATATTCCCCAAAGTTCAAAATTTTCGTTGACCTTCAGAAACAAAACCACAATTCTTCGCGCCTTCTCCCTCTGCAAATCGCGATGGCGCTTTCTGCCGCGTTCCGGGAACGACTCGAACACATGGAACGTACCCGAAACCAGCGCCTCTCTCTTCTCCAGGTCACATCACAAGCCCTAATTTCCTTAAATCGTGTTCGGTTGCAGAAAAAAAAAAAAAAAAAGAGCATATCGAAAGATTTAAAATTTCTTAATTTCGTCAAAAATTTCCCTGGTTTCTCAGCTGCCAAACAGATAGCAGCGAAATGTTATTGATTCTTGCTTCGTTTGCAGGCGGAGAAAGAAGCGCAAGCGAACAAATCTCAGGTGTTGGTGATGAAGCTCGCAAGCATGAGGGCCACGGAGCAGAGGTGCTTGGCGCACGACCAAAAGATCGCATCGCAAGGCTTCAAGATCTGGACGCTCAGGTCTGAGATCGATGGCCTCGACGAGAAATATCAATCCGATTCACATCAGTTGAGGTATTACTTAAGTGTCTCAATTGATCAAGTTTTCGGTTGCTTGATTCATTAATTAGGTTGAACTGGAGCGACTTAGATTGGGAATTGAAAATGAAATTGAAATTGAATTGGGGATAATTTTAGGGTTTTGAAGAGTGAGGTGGAGGAGCTTAAGGAGTTGGAGAAGGAGAAGAAGAGGTTTTATGAGTTGAAGGGATTTGAGATGAAGGAGTTCAAGCAAAATGTCTTTAGCAGCAAAACACTTATTTCCACACGTACTGACGAGAATTTACTTACAAGCTCATATATTTAATCGTAAAACACTTATTTCTACACATGACCGATGATAATTTTCATTTTTTAAGTTCATATCTGTGGTAGTAGAACACTCATTTCCACTCGTAAGGACGATAATTCTCTCTTATAAACTTTGGCAATGCGATTTCATCCGTTAGATTATGAAGAGTTATTAATTTAAGATGGGTTGTTTGATCTTTGTTTCCGATCCAATCAAGCTTTGTCAAATTCCAAGGGAGTGACAGATGCACGAGTAATGGTGAGATAGCTGCAACTGAGAGGAGAAAGAAAAGATATAAATTTTTCTTTCCTTCTCTTTTTTTAAAGTTGGAAGAGGTAAAATTTGAATCACCTTGTCCTCGATTAATCGAGAAAGCACATTCAGTCCTAGAGGATAATATCAACCACTTGACGTCCATCCGATGCATCCATTATGGTGATTTCATATTCCCTTTTTCGCTTACTATTCCTATTGCTGTAGCATTATCGAAGTCATAGTCGTCACTATTATCAACAAGAAAACTGTGGATGGTCGTATTATGATTTGCCTCCATTAAACTTTCAATTTGGGTTTGTCAGTTTTTCAACAAATTGAGGGTGAGCCATCACATCGGCCTTAATTTATATTCGGATTAATTTATAATCAGATTATCAAATATGAATCGTATGTATATTATCAGTTTTAACCTGTAAATTCATATTCCGCAAACATTAAAGAGGTAATCATCAATGTGGTTGATAGAAAATGTGAGAAATTTGATGGTATGGGTAACGCTTAACATGATTTAAACGATTATAGAAACTCATAACTAAATTAAAAGTCGAGAGGACAATCAGAGAAAGTCACAAGTTGACATTGCTAAATTTCCCTTATAGAGGTGTAGGAATTTTGGGCCATGGGCTCAGACAATCACTATTGGGTCAATTTTGTTCATTATGCAGCTCATTAACCGAAAGCCCAAATAACAAGCCCTAACAATCATACACGTGTAAAACCCTCACATCACCAACAAATCGAACGTCGAGTCCTGAACCTTCTCCCCGAAGCTTTTGCCTTTTCTTGCAACTCCCAAAATATGGAAAGGGATCATTTCGGATCATTTCCATCAAATTCATCAAATCATCTAATTTGAATATTTAAAATTTAATATAACTGTTAAATTTATTACAACTTTTAAAGGAACCTTTTATTTATAGCTGTTAAATCAAATTTCAAAAGTTCGGATTGATTGATTGATTGATTTGATAGATTTGGTGGAATGAATCCGGAGATGATCAATTTCCTTAAAATATAAAGGGAATCTTAATAAAACATTTCTGGTACCATTCACTTTTAACGTTAAGGACATGGGGTGTGATATCCACACACCCCATTTTACTTCTCACACATCCTTTTAATTTTTGGGCGTCAGATCGGATGAATTAAAAAAGATCAAGGAACAGAAATTAACAAGGGGTGTGTGAGAAGTAATTTGGGGTGTGTGGATAGCATACCCCTAATGACATTTTTGATTTAAAAAGTCATTTCTGATACTATTCACTTACACATTTATTTTATCATTTTGATTAAAACTAAAGTTTTTCGGTATTTTTTTGTTTGTTTTCCTAAATATAAAAATCCATTGAAAAAAAAAATACTAATGAAAATGGAAGTAAAGTGAATAGTACCAGAATTGATTCTTAGTATAAAAATATGGTTTTTCGTTAAAATAAATAGTACCGTGAGATTTTCGTTAAAATTCTCTTAGAAAACGAAAAGCCATTTCTTTGGAGAACGAATTAGCAAATGGCAGAGGAAGTGGCGCTGGACGTGGAGGAGCTCCGCCACCTTCAGAGCATTGCGAAACGATCCCGTGTCATCAACCTCATTTCCACTGAGATTCGCACTCTGGAGAAAAAGTTCCCATTTTGTTTTTGTATCTCAGCATTTGCTATTCAATATTTACATTTTTGACATGCCTCTAACATGTAGTGAAATTTTTGCCACAATGTGATTGTTTTGGTAATGTCCCCACATTTTTTGTGTGAAAATTGGTTTATATTTGACCCAGAAAAAAAAAAAAAAATTATGGAAACTTGTATTTGATTTTAGAATTTTGTGTGAAGTGAGCTTATGAGCTCAGTATTATCAATGCCTGTGTATTCTTTCACATGTGTTGTTGAAGTATGATTTGGCACGGATCATGAACCCAAGGTTGAATCTCTCTTTCCGTAGATTAGACTAATTTAGAATATCGTCTTGTCAAAATTTGATTTCAAACCAACTTCATAATTTTGTCTTTGCTTTAGCATTTTGAAATGTTGTAATGCTTGAGAGAGAGTAAGATTATTATGGTATCTAGTGACGGATAAGCGCTTGTTAAGATCGTATGAACCCGCCATTTCAAGGCCAGATATGGAATCTTGCTATGTTCACGTATGGGAAATAATGTGGTTTTTGATCATTGCAGATGTCACAAGAGGCTGCTGCTTCACCTGCACTGCAAATCCCAACTCCAATTTCAACTGATACTGCCACCCCAACTCTGCATTACACTACGCTTTCGTCGTTCAGCTGGGATCAGGATAAGGACAAAGTGAAGGTGCGAACATATTCACCATGTGTTTTTGCATTAGGTTTCGGTTTGATCACCTTCGCTTTTTTTTCCTTGCAGATATACAGATTTCTGGAGGGAGTTGATCAGAGAAGATAGAGACCGACTTCAAGCCTATGTCATTTGACATCAAATTCCATGATGTGGAAGGAAAGAATTACAGGTTCGGTTTGCCTAAGCTGAACAAGGAGATCGATCTAGAGAAGTGTAAGGTGCTGGTTCAGCCTACAAGGGTTGTTATCAATTTGGCTAAAACTTCAAAGGATTACTGGTTGGACTTGAAATTTAAGGAGGACAAGGTATGTCTCATCGTATCTTTGAACTCTCCCATTTTATGCTTCGGAAAACGGAGAAATGTAACTGAACGCATTCGTTATTTTGATCTTACAGCTGAAGCCGAGTCTGGATAAAGAGAAAGATCCCATGGCAGGAATCATGGCCTTGATGAAGGTGAGGTTACCAAATACTTACATTGTCATATAGGAAAATGTGTACTGTGTTTCTTCTCTGCTTTGTTAATTACCGTATGCAACGGATTTTGTAGAATATGTAGGATGAAGGGGATCCGGACATGAAACGAACAATTGCCAAAGCGTGGACCGATGCAAAGTTTGGACAAACCGGCTGATCTATCGAAGGGGTTTCAACTAAACATGGAGCTGACATTGTTTTTCAGTAGTTTTTTTCGTTTATATGATCTTAATGCTCAGCGAGTTCTTTCATGGTAGGATGGTTCTTCTGTGTTGTTATGAAACTCTCTTGCATGTAGCTTTTCTAAAGTTCTATATGAAAGATTGGAAGAAATGAACTTTGGACAAATGAAACTCAAATCATAACATGGCGGAAAACACGAACGAAGTAACATAAGTTTCAAACAACAAAGTCTTATCCCGCTAAGTAGCGTAGATTTTATAAATCATTAGGTGTAGAACAGAGTAACGTGAGTTCAAAGTTTTAAAATCATTTCACCAGCGAAAGAACTTAACTTTGCTGCACTGTGGGAGCACAAACTTGAATTCAAAAGATTAATGCCTATCCATGCTAATCTGTTCTTACATGTTACATCGAATCAGAATCACAAAACCAGAATCTTAGAAATACAAATCAAGTAACCTATTTTTTTGTCAAGGAAGCCAAGTTCTTATTCGGTTTTACGTGAATCACACTTATCAGAACCCTATAAATGCGAGTGGGCAATGATAATCTAGTGATCTTCAAAACTACGAAAAGTACATCTAACGATACAAGACAAGAGAGATTGTGCGCCGTCATTGGAGTATTTGACTACCATAATCAGCATTGAACTTCTCGTAACGATGAACTTGGAGATGAGCAGACGGCCTTGTGTTCTTCAAAGCCGTCTCAATATCTTCGTGTTTGATCGGTCCAACCTTGGGCAGTTCTGCAACCAAAAACATCATGGCATAAGCTTTTACCGAACGCGTCGAAACAAAAACCCGTTGCCCAGGTTCGTATTTACACTAAGCTCATATGCATCCAATTTTGGTTAATACTTTTAGAGTCACATACCATCCTCAGGAACCGTGTCCTCTTTGTCTTCAAGGAATGTCATTACACGTCTCAGAGGCTGCATAGCAGCCTCCTTGCACACCAATCGAATATCTGAACCTGAATATCCTTCAGTTTTATCCACCAACAAATCATAAGGAAGCTTCTCCTCATCAGGCTGTACTGGCAGGAGCTCCTCGAACATGGCTCTTCTTGCTTCTGGTTCAGGCAGAGGCACAAGAATCTAAATTTTTCATGGTTAATGGAGAAGCCGAATAAAATGGCTGGATACAGAATATTGATCATGTAAAAAACTGCCTCGTATTATGATACCTAGCTAGAAAAGAACGCAAACAACGGACAATGGATGTGATACAGCAGGTGAACCTTCCCGTGTTCTATACCATAATCAACCCCAAAATGATCCCGCATCTATTGATTCTATTTAGACATCTTGAATATCCTGGCATGTAATGCATATTCATATACACGCAAATATAGTTACCAGCACTCAAATAGCTTGTGCTCCGTTAATGCTTGTGAAACTATGATTTTCATTCAGACCTATGAGATTTGTAACAAAGTGTATTACATGATATGCTAATAATTATAGCTTCTGTCGTTTCCATATAGTTGACTTGCACATATCACTAAGCATAATTTAATTTTTCAAAAGGATACTCGCTTCTCAAGACGCCGGAGCATGGCTGCATCCAGTTCCCAGGGAAGATTTGTAGCAGCCAAAACAAAAACAAGTTCACTTGTCTTTGTCAAACCATCCATCTGCAATCTAATACAAGCTAATCAATTTTTGAACAAGCATAGTTGACATGTGGAATATCCTGATGCTCGGAACCAAGACAATTAAAAGTTCTAAGCACAGTGTTAACATAGTTTCTCAAATGTTATAAACTGATACGATGCAGAAAACAAGATTCTGTGATCAACACAAGTAACATATGATGGGAGAGAACACTAAGAAAGCAGCACTCTTTAAAAACAAACATCACCTGTACGAGTAGCTCGTCTTCAGACGCCTACTTGCTTCATGCTCACTTCGTCCTCACCACGTTGACTAATAATTGCAGTCAATTTCATCAATAAATATAGTTGATGGTGCATGGTGCCTAGCAAGCTCAAACAACACCTTCACTAACTTCTCTGAGTCGCCTGAAAAATTATGCAAACATTAAAATTGAAGGAAATATTAAAGAACAGATAGGAAGCTCAGATAACAAGCTGGAAAATTTAGACCCTAATAAATTCTTCCCCATCCATTTTTATGACAAATAAGCAAACAAACAAGCATGATCTTCAGAAAATAGTTCAACCCTGACATACCACGCCATTTGCTGACAACAGACGATGCTGAAATGTTGAAAAATGTGGTCTTGCACTCTGTTGCAACAGCCTTGGCAAGCATTGTCTGCACCATCAGATGTTTAAATTAATTTTTGTCCAAAGTATCATTGTAAAAGATTAACTGGGTTGTGCATCAACAGGACTTTGAAAATTCATCTTCATTTCAGAGGAAGTTTTTCACAAGAACTCATTGCATGGGGAGCAATTTTCGATCAAAGTAAGATTTTAACAAATTAATTTTAAAAACCCATCTCCCAATCCCCCACCCCCACCCAAATAGCATGATCACTTCAGCAAGGATAGGTACAAATACAATATGGTTAACAACTTTTCTTGGGTAAGCAAATACTGTATAACCAAAGCACGGAAAAAGAAACATAAACAATCAACAGGATTGGAAAGAATTGCAAACCTTTCCTGTCCCTGGAGGGCCAAAAAGGAGAATACCTTTCCACGGTGTTAAAAGTCCAGTAAAGTACCTGAGGAAAATAGAAAGATCAGTTTGATATTTGAATGATCTTGCATCGTGCCATCATTTCAAAAGTGTTGCCAGTTAATTCAATATGGTTGTTTCACAGTTTTATCCCAATTTCTAGACAAGTAGCTGCAAGAAATTGTATCAAAATATTCTAGCACATATTAATTAATTTCACTTAACATAAAGAAAAACATTTGGTACTCCACAAATTTAAAAGAAATACTTAAAGCAATTAGCATGAACCATGATTAAATTAAGTTCATATTGGTTTCAATGTCACAGAAAAGGGAATGTAAACTGAGACCATGCTTCACTAGCAAACAACTAGCAATTCAGCAATCTGATTCTCTTGAACTTTACGAACAAAAAAAATATAGGAGTACATAAAAATGCAAGAACAAACACGTTAAATCGTGAACTGTTTATTAAATAAATTTGGTACATGAGGTGTTCATTGACCAGACGTACTTGGGATATTTAATTGGCATGACCACTGCTTCTTTGAGCAAACGCTTGGCATTCTCTAATCCCTTGATGCTTTCCCACTTAACATCTGGACTACCCCGAATTATATCCCTGCACAAGACACAACGCATGGTAAATAAATGACAAAACTTTCAGGGTGCCAACTGTAATCATCCTTGGCCACCGGGAAAAAATAATATGTAATAGCAGTAACTTGTATTCCATCATGTGAAGTCATTCATCTAAAATCACCTGCATAAACTCTCTCCTAAAGAACGCATTTCTGCTGATTCAAAAGAAGGTAAAAGGGACTTCTGCCTGTGGAGTTCACAAAAAAATGTCATTAGGTTCTGAAAGAAGCACTCTTCAATGAAAAGTTGCCAGATAACATACGGTATTTCATCATGTTGATCAGATAAGACTCCATTTGAGTGAGGCACGGGGCCCCTACCCTGAAAAACAGATGAAACCGAAGAACAAATGAATGCAACTGTACAAGTTCATGCAATATGTCAAATCCAATTCACTACATGATAAGATCAAATCCACTACCTGGTTTTGAAATTGCTCATAGATGGCCAAGTCAGCTGTCCTCTTCACGTGACCATTCCCATTCGCGGTCACTCCGGAACTACTTCCATTACTCACTGCTCCATTAGTGGACTGCCCGTTTTGCTGCGGCTCCGGCGCTTTCTTTCTACCAAACTTCGCATCATAAAACAATTTAAAATCCTAGAAATGTACATAATTTTAGCTGAGATAAATCCACGAATTCTTGATTCAATCCTATCCATCAGATCAAGATTCGCAACTACATAATCTCAACAACCAGAATTCTATCCAAATATACTCAACTCTAAGCATATAATTAACCCCAAAACAAAAATTATATTAATCGAGATCACTGAGCTAGTGAGCTCATATTTGTCAGCATAGAAAACAGAAGCAAGCAAAACAAACGAAAATAGAAATTGGGTTGCTTCAGTTTCTAATTCAAACCCAGAAAAAGCTAACAGCCACTCTACTCATAGTTTCGTTCAAGTGCCAAACTTTTCAATTCGACCAGCATTTTCTCGGGAAACAAACAGAAAATAATAAGCGAATTGGTGAGTGAGTACCTGAAAGGACCAGCGACTGGGAGCAGGCTCGTCGGACATTGCTCAAACAAATCTGGAGCGGAGAAAAATGAGAAGAGAAGAGAAAAGGAGAGATTTGTAGAGATCTCTCTCTCTCTCTCTAAGCGGTCTCTGTCGCCACTCACTCTGGTGCGTTGTTATACGGCTCGGAAACATGTAGAACAAAACACATGTGTGATCCCTGAATTTTCATTTATATTAAATTGAGAATGGTTCGCCAAATTATTAATTATTTAATAACCAAAATGCTCACTCTACATGGCTGTTTTAAACATGTTTTTTTTCTTTTTAGTGAAAAATTATTTTATAAAAATATGACTCATTGTATTGATTTGTGTAAAGTATTATAATATATCTGATAGTATCTATTTCTATTTAGATATGAATTTTACACTAGTTAAATTAAAATTTACATTCCTATAATACAAACAATAATTACAGAAAAATTCGAATTAATTAAAATTTAATTGAACACCCTCACAAATTGGACGAGCCTAATCGGACAAGTTTGGAACAAAATACACCATGCAGAGGATGATGAAAAGCCTTGGTAAAGAGGTTAGCAGTTTGATCAGTGAAAGAAATATAATAAACTCGATAACTGTCACGAGCCAACTTTTCACAAACAAAATAGTAATCAAGTTGAATATGACGTGAGAAGGATGGTAAGTGGCACTAAGATTATTACAGTGCAAGAGAACATGAAAATATAAACGAACACCAAGCTCGTGCAAGAGAAAACAAATCAAGGTGGTTTTGACACATGCATGAGCAAGGGCATGGTATACCAATTCGGTACTGAAACGAGATATGGTCAGCTGCTTTTTTTAGCACCAAGATATGTGATTAGAACCAAGATAAACAACGTAACTAGTGGTGGAACAACAAATGTCCAGATAGCCAAGCCAATCAGCACCATAGTAGGTGTATAGGGTAGTGGAAACAAGCTAAGGGGTAAATGTGATGCCAAAATCCATTGTACATTTGATATAACGGAAAATTCGTTTAGTGGCAATCATATGAGTAGGGCGAGGCGAGCTCATAAACAAAGCAACAATATTGACATCAAATGAAATATCAGAGCGAGTGATAGTGAGATAGCCAACAATATCCATATGTAAACCTAAGATATAACAGAGGGGACCTAAACCTAAGAAAGAAACCCCAGGACATTGAGGAAAAAAACCTAGACGAATGATAGTATATAGAAATATGACTTCTTCATTTGTGTAAAGTGTTACAATATAAAGAAGAAGAAGAAAGAAACCCCAGGACATTGAGGAAAAAAACCTAGACGAATGATAGTATATAGAAATATGACTCATTCATTTGTGTAAGTATTACAATATAATAGGGTTATATCATTGCCTATTTAGATTGGAGTCCTACCCTAGTTACATTTGAAAATTACATTCCTATCATACAACAATAATTATATAAAGAGACTTTAAAGAAAAACTTCCGGTACTGTTCATTTTAACAAAAAACTATATTTTTACACTAAAAAGTCAATCATGGTACTATTAACTTTACCTTTTATTTTGTTCTTATCGTTAAAACTCAAATTTTTCAAGTCATTTTCATTAGTTTTCCTTTATATAAAAGATTATGAATTAATTACCTTTGATTTAACAAGTTTCTTAATGGAACACCTATTTATTTCTCGGTACACTCCTGTTTATTTATGTTCTTTGTTTCTTTTCTTTTTTTCCGGTTTATTCAACAAAAAACAAAAAACAAACAAGGTGTATAAAAGAAAAAAAAATGTGCGCTAAAATCACTTTCCTTTTTCAATCCAGCCATATGTTTTCAGTTATAGGTTTTTTGTTTTTTGTTTTCTCTCCTACTTAATTCTTGTTTGGTTTTTATTCCATTACCATCATGATTCTGCTCCATTCCAATGTGTACTGCAAATTTTAACAACGCACTAATTATACTAATTTCTGATTACACAAAATAAATAGGAATTGAATGAACAACAAGGTAAACACTAATTTATTTTTTTTGGTAGAAAAAAGTGGCAAAATCGTGAGTTTAAAATAATGATGGGCTTGTAACCGAATAAAAGGAAAATAATGATGGGCTAGAGTGGAATCCAGAATGAGTTATGGGCTTGGTCTCAAACCTAAAGAGCCCAACCCAACCCATGACAGGGTACTTGGATTCAGTCCAACTGGTTCACCTTTGATGTAGGGTGTTGTTATTCCTTTTTGTGTAATCCTCACCCGATAATCCATCGACCCAAAAAACACTGTCCCAACAACACTAAATTTTTTATCAATATGAGTTGGTTTTATTTTAAGAAAATCTAAAATTTAGGTTTTAAACTAACTCAATCATTTTTTATTGACTTGGTTTAAAATTAGGTTCGAGTTAAAACCTAAAATTTGGGCAAATTTGATTCAGAATTCCGGTCAGGGTTAAAAGGCTGGGCCACCTTAAGGGTGTGGACGCACCTAGAAAAGTGGAGGCCGCAACAAGGTGACGTGCCCCAGGCGCGAGATGCGCAAGAGCTGACATGAAGTATGGACCACCAAAAACGGGCCCAACAACTCTTTTTCCGATCTGACGATTTTAATTATTGGACCTTTGGTTAATCCAATGGTTCAGATTCTATTAAATACATTGAATCCAACAGTTGAGATCGAATATGCCAAATATAACGGTAAAAAAAATATCTAACGGCCCAAAATTAAATCCAATGGGTAAAAAAATTAAAGATTTTATTTAAATCAAAGTAACCCAAAAACTCTAAAAATACATGTCTCATGGAGTTGATTTAGTGAAAAAAATTTTCAACTCTTATCGGAATCTAAATATTTTTAGGTTAAAATGTAAAAATAAATTTTGATAATCTACATAAATTTTGTTCTAAAAAAATACTGAAAAAAAAAAATTTCAGCCTAAATTCATTCTTAATAATCTCGTGCTAAATTTTTACCCATAACCTTTGGAGCATAAAAATTGTTTCTGGGTTAAAACCTAAATTTTCTAAGTTAAAAATTTTGGTTTTAACCCCAATCATTGAAGTTGGTCTAAAGGAAAATATTTTTGCTCACCAGTTTAAATGATGGTAATGTTCACCATCGTATTTATCATTGTTAGATGAGTGCATTTATTTCACAACTCTCAAAATTTAAACTTGCCTAGCAATATTGAATATGGTGGTGAGCGTTACTACCACTAAAGGTGGTGAGCAAAAATGCAGTTATTAAAACTTTACAATTTACAGTTAACCACCTGAACTTCATTGTTTGTGACAAGTTGGCACGTTCCTATACATTTTTTTTTAATTTACTATTATTAAGGGGAGAGAGAGAGTTCGAAACTATTACTTAATTTAGGGAAAAGGAAGTTTCGAACCCGGGGTGAATGGATAAAAACCTAACACCATATCCATAAAGATATTGGGTCATATACACGTTCCTAATCTTCCATCAACCTTTTGTCAAATAATGACTACATACTTTTCGTGCTCAAGGTTCCATATATCAATAAGATAGGAAGTCTCTTGCCTGTTGGAGATAGTAGACCGAGATTCCTACATATATATGACATAGCTCATGAAATAGACAATCGGATGAAAGAAAGTGAAGCACTAAACAGAAATGTCGTTCAAAAAATCCAAGAAATCTTGAATCAATATAACCAATTTGTGCAAATATTTCACAACCTAGCACAACGTCAAGATTTGCAAAATTGCAGATTGATTATCAAGGTTCAGCTTGCAAACCAACAACAATATTATTTACCGTCTACATCTCAGATTGCTGCAATCATATTAGGTGGTGAAGGATCAGAAAACATTAGAGGTCGGGATATCATTGTGCAAACTATAGATGGTCAACTTAAGAGTATCAAAGATCGTGTCGGCTACTATGACCCTTTACAATATCCATTGTTGTTACCTTATGGAACATATGGATGGGATGTGAATATTCGAAATAACAACCGCATAAAAGTGACAATGTGACTATTATTCTTATGTTCTTTAGGTAACCGAAGACCTTCATCTCTGTACACTTAATATTAATTTTTTAAATTATATTATGTTGAGTGAAATTTTTTTTTATCATTTTAGATTTATCAACACAACGAATCGTTTCTACTTCATGGTGGTCGCCTGTTGCAGCAATATGTAGTTGATAACTACGTAAAGATTGAATCACAAAAGCTTAGATGGATGTGTGATAATCAACACACAATTCGATCTGAATTTTACCGAGGACTACAATACTCATTAATTGTAGGACAAAATAATGCAAGTATAAAACTTATCCATTTATACAATAACATATGTGCTTCATTTTCATGTTCAATCATATCAAATGAGACTTATTAATGAGTTATAACAAACCAAATATAATTAGACTTATTAATGATTTATAACAAAACAAATACAAGAAACATCGGTCATCGTAGGACTATATTACTGTCACCTTTTGTTGGTGGTCCCCGTGACATGTATCAAAGGTATCAAGATGCAATATCTTTGGCTCAAAAGTATGGAAGACTAGATATTTTCCTAACAATGACATGTAATCCAACTTGGGAAGAAATAAGTGATGAGCTATTACCTGGCCAAACACTACAAGATCGACCAGATTTGCTTACAAAGGTTTTTCGTGCAAAATTCGAAGAGTTGAAGAATGATGTTATAAAAAAAAAAGATGTTTTGGGTAGAGTTCTTACATATGTATATGTCATTGAGTTTCAAAAGCGTGGTCTCCCTCATGTCCACATGATTCTCATGTTAGAAGAAAATGATATGCTTAATAGTCCCGATGATTATGACCAGATGATGTGGGCTGAAATACCAAATCCAAATGAAGAGCTTGAACTGTATAATGCTGTGTTAAGGCATATGATACATTGTCCATGTGGAAGGCACAATTCACAATCACCCTGTATGAAATGTGGGAGTTGTAAACGAAATTATCACAAACCATTTGCACCAACTACAGTTCAAGGAAATGATTCTTATTCAGTCTATCGTAGAAGAGATAATCATGATCCTGTTCCATTAAATTAGAATGCACGTATAATGGTGGACAATCAGTGAGTCATTCTGTATAACTCATGGCTACCCCTCAGATATGACTGTTATATTACTTGTATAAATATGTTTACAAAGGTCTCGACAGAGTAGCTTTTGAAGTTC